TTTCTTTCTTTCTTTCTTTCTTTCTTTCTTTCTTTCTTCTATTTATACAGCTTTAACTTTTTTCGTGGGTTACAAAAATTAATCATCATATTAATTAATAATGAGTTTGTTATGAAATGCTTCAAACATACTTCAAAAGAGTCATTTCAGAATCGAATTGAAACATGTGGAAACACAGACTAAATTTAATAAAGATTTACACGAGTTGGGCTTATTGGCCTGGCTCCAAATCGTCATTAGAATCGTCCTAGTAATTTGCAATGTTTCACCATTTCGGAACACCTGTCATTTACTTAAGAACAATATTATTTGTTTTAATTGTAAATATTTTTTTTCGTGCGAAACCGTTAAACAGAGAAAAAATATAGTCTATAATGGGAAAACATTGCACGAAGACCAATTAGTTATACAGTATGTATATATTTTTCGTATTCAAATTTCCTTACTCTTCAATAGCTGTTATCGTAATTGAGCACGCCACCCCAACAAACAAGCGGTATTGTGATGAGCGTAGCATCAAAACGATACTATCGGGTCGAGTCTCTGATAATTTGCTAAGAAATTTACTTTGTTATACAAAGTATTTTGTCGTCTTTCTAACTTTGATCAAACACTATATAGCTTTTTGGATGTATGAACATTAGTTTGAAGACACGCTCATAGAAATGCACCTGGTTTGTCGGATTGACGTGCACAACTGCGATAGGAGCTATTCTTCCCAGCTGTCTTCAATTTGTTTATATTTGGCTCAAGCAGCTTATGGAGGTTTCGGGTCTTCTTTTTTCAGGCAATTATGTCAAGTTTGAATACCAACAACACAGCTGTCAACACAGGCGTTACAGTAACATTGTCCGCTCTAATAGTGGTGGACCTGATCGGGAACACCCTGGTCATACTGATCATTCTGACCAATAAATCCATGAAATCACCAATCAACTACCTCCTCGTCAACCTTGCTGTAGCTGACATCATGGTAGGAGTATTCCTTGCACCACGTTTCATTTTGAATCAGTTTTACATTCATCCTGATGGATTTGCAGGAAAAATGATGTGTAGTTTTTTGACGGGTGGAAATTTTTCTTGGGTAGGAGCCGTTGCTTCTTCCTTTTCTCTTGTTACGATCTGTTGTGAGAGATACGAAGCTGTTCTCCATCCGTTTGCTTCCAACAGAAATATGAGTAAAAAGAAGTCTAGAGCAATAGTGGTACTGTGTTGGACTATTGCATTAGTGCTAAACGTTCCTTTATTTTTAACTAAAATCTACAAAACAAATGATAAAACTTGTGGTTCTCTCTGGCCTAAAGAGCACCCATGGTTCGAGGCAACATATTTGATATCTTGGTCAGTTATTGTAGGGATCATCCCAATCGCCATTATGCTTGTTCTGTACAGCAGAGTCATCTACTCTCTTTGGTTCAAGCAACACCAAGTACAAGGTACACAACTAGCCGTGTTAAAGTCAAGGAAGAGAGTAACCAAGATGGTGGTCATTGTCAGTGTTGTATATGCTCTATTCTGCCTTCCTGACTTCATTATCCATCTTTTAATCTTTAGTGGGAATACGAACAGTAGCTTTAAGAGCATCCATCTCAGTTTTATAATATTAATGGTATGCAACTCAGCCATTAATCCGTTCATTTATACATTACAAAGTGGAAAATTCCGACGCCATTTTAAGAGAATTTTTTGCTGCACAGACACTAACAAGGTGTTCGTAGACGTCAATATTTCATTATCTGCTGCAGCTCATAACGACTGAATGGAGCAGTAACTCGATGTTTTATAGTCAGATCAAATACTGAGACCCCCTACAATACTGACTAACCAACTGAGAACCCATCTACAAAGTTAAGCAGCCAAGATACAGAATCGGCATCATATGTGAACATTCTCCAATCACAATACCCCGGGGGGGTACTCCCTTTGTTCAGGTAGTAGGGGTGATCGGCGGTCGATTTTTAAAATGGCCCCTAAAAGGAACGCATAAATTAAAAAGGCTCTTAAAACCAACCTGATTTCAAACCCTAAAAGGTACAGCTTTATTTCAGTAATTTACTATTAACCCCGGCTATCAACGCCGGTTTAACGAATGACAGGACAGCGTATAATAAGATTATAACGATGATCATATTAAAGAAATATTTAGTGCATCATTGTAAAGTAAACAGCGGCATAGCATGGATAACGCGCATACTAATGGGGGGACAGGTGAAAATTTGAAATGTCCAGAATAATTCTTAACACTCCCCCTTAAAGTCATGCAAAAAATACGATCCCCAATGAGCAAGGCTTGTAGCTTCTTCCAAAAATTGTGCATCCCCACATTATTCTGATAAAGATTTGCCAATCCCCCGTTTTTCCTACCAACATTTTCCCAATCCCCCTTCAATTTCACCGCCCCTCCCCCCCTCTGCCATAAATTAGGAACACAGCCTTATCGATAACTTTTTTCTTCCTTTCATGATACGAGGTTCTAAACCACGAAATTAACTAAATCTTTTGAACCGAACGCATATTTATTACTACTATACTAAATCTTTTGAAATCCAAGCAAAGGAAATATCAGTAAGCTTTTTTCCTTACCTCTTGTCTATAAATAAAGTTGCACTGTTTACATGAATCTTAGAGAAAACTATTACACGTGAAATAGAATTCATTTCACGTGATATGGTTTTCTTTAATTTCACTGAGTGAATTCTAAAGTTTTCAAGGGAAGTTTTTATCAAAATGAGATATATTTCATACGAACGTCGGTTTGTATTCCCCATCTTTTCAATTTCATTGCGGCTTCAGTAACAGTGATACTTCTACCATAGTATTATAAGAAATGAAATAGCTAGAGTAAGGAAGATGTCACCTTTCGTATGCGGAAGTGTTACCGTAATCTTCGTTCTTGCCTAAAATAGAAGAAGAATTTATATAAAAAAAGAGAAAAGAAAGGAAAGCAATCTCAAAAATAACAACTAAATAAAATACTGCTTATCAAGATCTAGAAATAATCAAATAAAGAGTAGGGGAAGCGTATTGAAAATTAATGTCATGGTCTACCTGTGGTCTACATGCCTCATGTCTGCGTTACCAGTAACGAAACCATTACCATTAATGAAATATACATAAAGTGATCAAGCATAAAAGGTCAACCACAGGCATGTATTGGTTTAATGATGGCAAACACCATCGCTCGGTTATAACTTTCTCTTCAGGAAATTCGCCAAACGAGATATTTCAACACAGACTGACAGCAAGATAATCATGATAGCTTTACAGCTGCGAATCGTGTATACTCACACTCTCTGGTTTTTGATCGTATTGCATCTACTTCCTCCCGAAGGTAGGAGAATCTTGTTATTATATTCTATGATTGAAATAATTATTTCCCTAAAATCAAATCCTGAATATAAGATCGAATAGCAAATTTGGTGTCCAGAAAAAAGTTTTCTTGTACACCTTATCTATTTAAATTTGACATCACAATATGTCACAAAACATTGAATGATAAACGAGCAAGCTTAGTAAGATTACCAGTGTGAGCTGAACGAGTTGCAGATCATGCTATGAATATAATCACTTCTAGTATCAATGATCATTAATTATAATTTAAAAACTCATTAATAATTCATGAAGGAAACACAATAGAAATCATGACCGTGAAGGAGGTTTTATATCTGATTTAGATTCATCTTCATTTGCATAAACTTTAACTTTGATTTTCTCTATCAAGCATGGTTCATTTCGTAAAGAATGCAGTACAATATGAGAACATACATCATCACTTTTTGAAGCCGTTCAATAAACTTGCAGATCGTGTTTATCAGGTCTAAAAACAATCGGCTACCCCTCGTGTTTTTAAATCCTGATAAAACACTTCTGCTCGTTTATAAACACTACTTATTTCTATATGTATGATAGGACCTGATAGTGTCTAATAGATGAGATCATCAGCACGTACGAAATTGAATATAATAAGCCAAGCCTTTGCTTCAAAATGAATTTTAAAAATGATATAGATATATTTTATATAAATACTAGGCGAGTTTACGGAAAAATTGAGAAAAGAAATATTTGTGTATATGTATTTTTAAAATAATTTATAACTTACGAGGTTAAAAAAACAACTTACTTGAATGTACGCCATTTTTTCTAGTGATGTGTGATATAAAAGCACCAGCTAATCTGGTGCAGAATGTCAGGCAAGATGTAGTCTTCATGTGGAACACCACAAATGGTAACAGCATTTTATCAGCAAAATGGGGTTTGCTTGGTCCTGACAATAAGACTATTACACCACAGTTTATATCCATAAGCACTAGGACAAATGGTCCAGTTCTTAGTAACGATTTGGACAGCACAGCTGTAATGTACAAGGGAAGAGTGAGCTGGGTTGGTGATTTGAGCGCAGGACATGCTTGGTTCAAGATAACGAACCTCACCCTCCAGGATACGAACAAGTATGTTACAGCAATACGAGAACCAGGTCAGAGTGAGTCACTTCAATACTCGATATATTTGACGGTTGCTGGTAAGTAAAATAACTGAAGAAATGTTTGTTATTAGTTATTGTTTTCATAAGTTGTTTGAAAGGACAAACAAGCAAAATCAATAAGTGCATGGAAGCAATAATACTCTTGTATTTTGCAGTTCCTCCTCAGTTCAATCCACAACCACCATCAACTAAGAACATAGCAGAAGAACAAGAACTGAGTGTGTCTTGCACTGCTATTGGTCCACCCACCCCTAACATCACGTGGGTACAGATAGTAGGTCACAAGACCAAGAGTACAGGAACAGGAAGTGCTACACTGAGGATACCAAACATTAAAAGAGACCAGAATGGGACGTATGAGTGCCAGGCCAGGAACAACCCTAATGAGAGACCAGTCACTGCACAGACTATGGTAGTGGTATACTGTAAGTATAGGATTCCTTATTTAATAAAGTAAATGTCCGTAATCTTAAATTCCTCCTTCCCTTCTGAACTATTAGATCTACCTGGAATCGACACATCAGAGTCTTCTTTTCCTTTCAAGTCGTGGAATGGTAACAGTATTCGACTCAGATGTTTAGCAACTGGTTTACCTGCACCACGGATATCATGGTACAAACCAACAAATCAACAGATCACTTCAGGTGTCAACATTGTGCTCGAGGGTAGTGAGGTAACAGTACTGACAACTGCTGACCAAGGGGACTATGGACAGTACAMGTGTCGWGCAACAAACATCCTGGGAAGTGATGAACACGTYATCAATGTTACTCAACTGTGTAAGTTAAGCTCGTRAAATATATTTACAATGWTATAATGTCTTCAGTCTTRCTTAGTCCGGGCTTTYSAGTTCATTAGCAATCATATCATCTTTTTATCTAGTTCCTCCAAGTCCTCTTGTTATAGAAATAACCGAGCTTGAMGCATCATCTATAACYRTTAGATGGAMMACACCTGCTGATGWTGGTGGACTCGCTGTCACTGGTTACTTACTGGAAGTCAGTACCAAACCCCCAGTGATCATAATGAATACCCATTCTGTTATAACAAGACTGAAGGCAAACACACTCTACACTGTCAAGGTCTGTGCTAGGAATATTGTTGGGTATGGAGTGGTGTCTTCAAAAGTTATCAAGACAAAGAGAATCGGTAAATATACCCAAGTGTTGCTGACACTAGTTAGCCAATACATGATAAAGGTACGGACACAGTTCGACATTGCACGCAACATTTCACGCAACAGGAATGTTGCAGCGTGTGTCTACCCCTGATACTTGTTACACGCAACATTGTATGCAACAAAACTGAAGTTGAAGTGCGCTCTACTCTTGCAACATTGTGCGCAACAAATTTCATAGTGTGAACATAGCTGCAACATTGCGTGCAACATTTTGAAATTTTCAGCCAATCAATATACCAAGTGATAGGCAATGTAGTCCGAGTGCCATAAATGTTATCATTAACTTGGAATTCAATTTTCCATATTTTTATTTTCTCGTAGGCAAACCTTCAATCCCTCACCTGATATCAACTATTCTCAATGGCAAAGAATCGAAGCTCTCAGTCGTCTTGAGGTGGACAAAACCAGATGACAATGGTGGTAATATAACGCGCTATACCATCTATATCAAGGAAGTGAAACATAAAGCTGATTGGATAAAATATGAAGACGTCAACGATCCACATCAAGTTGGCTATAGAGTAACAGATAACATTGTTTATGGAAAAACATACATGTTCATGGTTACTGCATGGAATAAATATGGAGAAAGTGTGAAGGACGAAGGAAGTGCTAAGACTGTAAATACTACAGGAGACGAAGCAACTTCTTCGTGTGGTTCGTATAAGAAATATTAATAAAAATAACAAATCTAATCTAAAATGTTCATAATAAAATATTTACTATCTTTACGATTCCGCTATTACTTCATGAGTGGGACATTATTTTGAAAAGACTAAAAGGCAAGATTGAAGGGTACTTTGTTTCTGCTGTAGCCTTTTTACAATAACTTTACAAATGTTTTCTGTTGTCTCTTGTAATAGCAATGAGTTATTGTACTGAAGAAGGATCAAAGTCTTGTAAGTAACAGAAATAAAACATGTTCTACGTGGAAAAACGATATAATTTAAATAAATAAATAAATAAATAAAGTGATTTTTCTTTTTAGCCATTTCTAACTTTTCTCATTTTCTTCCCAGCTTCTACAGCCATGGGAGTTATTATTGGCATTCTCGTTCTATCTCTTGTTTTCAACCTACTACAAACTGTATACCTAAGGAGAAGGGTCCAACAAAGCAGTACGTTTGATAAAGTATTATCGTTTATTAATTGATCCGAACCCAGACCAAGCTAGTGCTGGCGCCTAACATCTGTTTTTATCTCTTGTTATTAAAATAGGTAAAAAAGAAAGCCAAGCGCATATTAACAGGTACTATAAGAAATAGTGAATGAATTGATGTGCAATAATAAGTTGGTTGTTTTATTTACTTGTTCATTTTTTATTGTTGCTGTTGCTTTTGTTTGGGGAATAGTTTGCGGATTGTTTTGTGAGTGTAAAAATGTATTATTCTCATTTTCTCTCACTGATTAATGAAGAAAAACACAGAAGAAAATTGTGGCTGGGGAAAGTTATCATGTAAGTCATCCTTGTGTTAAACATTACAACAAATTCCAAACCTTTTTTTAAGCGTTGTGTATTTGGTCTTTCATTTCAATTTTTTCCAGAACGACTTGGAATTGGAAGAAAAGGTAACATTAGCAGTTACGGCATCACGTGTTGCACAGCTTGTCAAAACAGGACCAGAATATGAAACCATCCATCAATTAAATCCTAACGAGGCAGGCTGTTCTAATGATATCAGTAATTATCAAGGACTCAATCTGATGCCAAACACGTCTATCCAAGGTGCCCAAGGACCCGTGTACGAGCCCCTTGGTACAAGATCATCGAAACCCAATTTGCTGCGTAATGATAATGAACATCATCAATATGAACCCCTGAATATTGTAAAACAAGACTCTACCTATCAATCCCTGCAGACTAATAGCAGGGAGTCGGCCATGTGACAATAATATAAGTTCAAGAATATTCATGTTAACGTGAAATGGTATTATCATTTATAAACGAAAGTGTTCAAGAGTGTTAGCTTTGAATCATCTGGAATAGTAAAAATGTATACTGTTTGATTAACCTATCAATCCCTGCAGACATGTGCAAGAGAATACTCAGGTCACAATAAGCATTCAACGGCCTTATATATGTACAGAAATATTGAAAAAATTATCATAATCATTTTACATCTAAATAGCAACTCGAATAAGGAATATTGACTCTTGATACTTGATTATTTGTTACGTCATATCAACAATTGTAAAATTCATTAATAATTCATGAGGTAATTACCCAGTGAAAGACCTGGATTTAGGTCACGTGGATGGTTTGTAATTCTCGATACAGGACGTGTGAAACTTAAAGCACGGGGAGGGTTGAATAGTCAGCAGGGAAAAGCTGGGGTTGATGAATTGTAAATAGTATGCTTAATAATATGATTAACTTTTATAAAGATCTCTAACCCGCCTAATTAGTATGCTTAACTTTTATAAAGAGTCGCGTCCTTTGGAATTCTACAAGGTTTATTAATCAATAAGTTTGTACATGAATACATGCCAATATTATAGATATTACTTATTCGCGCACCCAAAGTTGATATTGCAGTTGTTAAATACTGAAATTGCACAAAAATTATTAATATTACTGCTCAACGAATCCTCTGGCATTGGAATACTGGCTAATACATCATCTGACAAGTCAAATTTCCAATCAAAATCTCTGCGTCTAATACTTTGCGAAACGACGCGAACCTTTATAATAAAAGAATAAGTTTATTAAAACCATGAAATAAATATTTTTCCACCTAAATATAAAATGCAATTTAAGGCAATTCATTTAAAACACCCAATAAAGTTACTTGCCTCTTGTCAGCTTTATTGAGAACGTTCAATGCATTCTCTCCTCTCGTCTCACTTAAATGTCGGTTAATCGCACAAATTAACAAATAAAGCGTTTTAGGTGGATAACGCTCTCCATTTTTCTTGGCCACTTCGCCAACGAACTTACACAACCAAAAGTTTAAGGTATTTGGCAACATGTGTTCCAAATAATCGGTCAGATCTTGAACGTCATCACCTTTGAGACCGGCCACTCCAACGTGTTCTAACATTGCTAATTTATTTGGCCGTTGTTGCTGCCATTCCTCGAAAACTTTTATGCCCCATTTAGTGTTGTATTGAGTAGCTTTTGGAGTAGCTTCCGACACTAGACTGGACTCTTCTTCTTTACTCTTTGGAGAGCGAAACCGATCAGCCATGTTTCTACTACAACCTCTCTATGAAAATGAACTGCTAAATTCAGTGTTCAATATTTCGAAACTCCTTTGGGAGAACTCATTCCGGCAACTAAGCCATGAAAGAATTTTGTTATTATCAATGAATAATATGCTATTCAATTTCGTCATACAATCAACTAAGTCCTCATTTGTTAATAACAATTCAAAACTCATGAATTATTAATTCATTTCACAAGTAAGATAAAATATTCGCGTCCGACCTTTATGGGCTTTAAAACGGCTCGCCTGCGGCTCGCCGTTTTAAATGCCCATAAAGGTCTCCCGCTCATATTGTATCTATTACTTAAACAACAATTTTGCAGTAAAAGAACACAACGAACAAAATAAGTAAACAAGTATAACAATATTTTGATTTAATTAATCGGCAAATACTATAAAAATCCAATCCACGTTTAGTTCTTCTAGTGCCCTTGCGTTACCCATTAAAACAGACAAACGCTGTAGTGAAGTACAAAAGGTCAACCGCGAGAAACAAATGTGCATAATTAAATTTTGCATTTGATGCAGCAAGACTTGCTGATACTGAACACCATCTGTTCTGATTTCATATAAAACAGTCCACCATATCTTCAAAGTTTTAGTTTTCTGGATGTCAAAATTCTTCGTCACGATGAGTGTTGGACAGATAATTTCTTATTACATTCTTGGTTACATCGGTGCATTGTATTTACTTCCTCACGTAGGTAAGTCTATTGCTAAATTGTGATTTCCTTATTTATGTAGTTTTTATACATTCTTCAGTGATTCCTAATTTCTACGAATTTGCAGCGATTAATATTTGACGGTGATCAATCAAAGTTTTGATGATAAGTGAATAAATCCAGTTTATCATTGGAAATCCTAACGATTTCTGAAAATTGAAATCATTGTTCAAAAAGTCCAAGGCAGTCACGCTGCATAGTGTCTACACTCATAATCGTCGAACGTGGTGTCGACTGATGTTAAATTCAGTCCTCAAAGCATATTTTATCGAGACAATATAATCAGCTTTACTTTGCCCAAATAAAACGAACAAATGTTTTTTTAATAATGATTCTAATCTAAGGGACATATTTAAGTTCATTTTCATAATCAAGTAACTATATTAAATACAAGTTGCTGTTTTGTAGACACAACAGCTCGCTTCACTCATTTCCCTCCCAGCGTGTTGTACGTATCTAGTGGAGGAACAGTCAGGTTTGTGTGGGACTACCATGTGGACAACAGAGAGCAAGAGTTTAGCACTGAATCTCCACAATGGTCTTTCTACAACCAGAAGTATAACACTTTTAGTACAATCGGTGCTGATGACAGGTTCACCAAAAACTGGAGTTTTGTCATCAATAGAGCAACATGTCCACCAAGATTACTGAACCCTGATCGAGTAAGCAGAGAGTCCACTGCCACTCTTGTCATTACTGATGTGACTACTGCTGATAACGGGATATATCAATGTAATCTGGTGCTTAAAGCAAAGGATCCTATTAAACACCAAGTACAGCTAGTAGTGAGAGGTATTTTCCAGTCTTTAAACCACCATTTGCATATATTGAACAGCTAAACATTTATTTTCTCAGATTGTTGTCTTTCTGTCAAAAGCCTGGAACAGTTTTGAATATTAAAGTAAATAATAATAAAAACAAGATTGTACTGTATTGGTTGATATCTAATTCAAATATCAGTGACAGACTGAAAATAAACACGGGCGATCTTGGAAAGTGCACTGGGTTGCCCAATGTGCTGGTATGCTGGAGCTTATTTAAACTTAATCTTTGTAACGTACCGCTATTTGGAGGGAGGGGTTACTTTGGAACATTTTGAACAATTTTTGTAGCGGGATGGGGTCACATTACCTGTTTGTGAAAACTATTACCTCTTCAACTTGCTCACATAAACGTGATGTTATTTGTGACGTTTTGTTTAAAAGTAACTCCCAAGTTCCAGCCACAGCCACCACTGACAAAGAACATAGCAGAGGGTCAAGATTTGAGTGTGCCTTGCACTGCTTTTGGTCCACCAACACCTAACATCACGTGGGTACAGGTAATAGGTGACGTGACCAAGATCAGATGAACAGGAAATGCTACACTGAGGATACCAAACATTAGAAGAGATCAGAATGGGACGTACGAGTGTCAGGCCAGGAACAACCCTGATGAGAATCCAGTCACTGCACAGACTATGGTAGTGGTATACTGTTAGTATATAATTCTTTATTTAATGAAGTATAAATGCCCATAATTTTAAAATTCCTCCTTCCCTTCTGAACTATTAGATCTACCCGAAATCGACACATCAGAGTCTTCTATGACTTTAAAGTCATGGAATGGCAACAGTATTCGTCTGGGATGTTTTACAACTGGTTTACCTGCACCACGGATATCATGGTACAAACCAACAAATCAACAGATCACTACAGGTGTCAACATTGTACCCGGGGGTAGTGAGATAACAGTCCTGAAAACTACTGACCAAGGGGACTATGGACATTACAAGTGTCGTGCAACAAACATCCTGGGAAGTGCTGAGCACGTCATCAATGTCACTCAACTGTGTAAGTATAGATTAGATCATGCATGTAAAACCATTACCAGCAATTTATCCAACCTAGGGATCGAGTACCAAAACTTCTGGAAAGTAATTTTATTTTTCTATACGGCACTGAGATGTTGTTACTGAAGATCTGTATGCTCATTCAGTTCCTCCAGGTGCTGTTACATTAACGATAACCGAGATTGAAGCATCATCAGCAAATGTGAGATGGACCAAACCTGCTGATGATGGTGGAAGTCCTGTCACTGGTTACTTACTGGAAACTGATTCACACATCTTTGTAAGGACAATTGACACATATGCAGTACTAACAGGCTTAAAGAAGGACAGTCGGTATAGGGTTACAGTATATGCTAAGAATGATATTGGTTATGGAGTGTCATCGACCAAGATGATCACTACCAAGAAAACAGGTACGTAAAACCAATCATTTGTTAGCTAACTAAGTTTGAAGTCATGTTTTAAAAATATGGCCTATGGGTAGAAAACCTTCAACTTTTTATCGATGCCCTGAAACAACGCCCGGGCTGATAACAGTTAGGGCACTGTTGAGCTTTTGTGTATGGAAACATTTAAATTAAGGAAGAAGCCTAACGTAGTTTACTCATTTGTGATACCGAGTGCTGGGTTCGGACCGAGGGAGACCAGGATTGCTGTGGCATGGGAGTTAACTGCACTTGGGGGGGGGGGGGACGTCACTACAGCAACTGCATATAGTGCAACTGCACTACAGCTACGCCATCCTAGATTCTCATTCCGCCATAGATCGATTTACATGCTTATAGGTAACCTTTGTTTTCCGAGCGAATGATTTTATTAAACAACTGCTGATTACCTTACATTGCTCTTAATTAAGGTAGACCAGACATTCCAGAACTGTTGACTTCCCTACTCATAGAAGCCGAATCTAAAAGAAAAGTTCTTTTAACGTGGAAAAAACCTGATGACAATGGGGCAACGATATCACGCTACACTATCTACATGAAAGAAGAAAAWGAACAAYCTGACTGGAATAWKATAGAGSATGTCAAAGATTCTCTWCTAKTGGAATGCATTGTGGGAAMGAMARTTAAATATGGAAAGACGTACAARTTTACAGTTACTGCGTGGAATAAATATGGAGAAAGCATCAAGGATGAACGTAATGTTAAGACTGTAAATACTACAGCAGATAAGACTGCATATGCCA